ATATATATATATATATAAAAGAACGTAGGTAATGTGACACATCTCTATAACCTCCATTCATATTTTTTTTATTTTCTGACATTTTTTCTGTTTATTCAATTATTCTTTTTCTTAAAAAATCATCTTCTTAACTTATACCTCTTAATTATATAAATTATGTTCTTAAATTAGTATTGATAATATTCATAACTCCCTAACCTTTCATATACGTAATCTGTAAAGTCTTTTTACATTCATGACCTCTAATTTTATTTTATTTTTGCTTAAGATAACCTCTAATTATTAAATGCAGAAGGTTATATTGATAGTAGAAAATCACACTAAAATTGTGTGTTATTTTGTAGCCATCTTCGATTAAAGAATTAGTGGCAGATGTTACAATATTATTAAGCTTTGAGGTTCATTATCTTTTTCAATTATTATTTCATATATTACTTTTAATTAGCTAGTAAGACTAATATGTCAAGCCTATTTTTGTTCTTCTGACTAATTATTTTGGTTTGTTATCTTTACGATTCTCTTTATAACATAAAAATGGAGATTCATTTTAGATTAATCCAATTTTCTCCTTATTTTTTTTTATCTTTTTCTTGTTTTGCTAGATATCTTTTAACTTATTTGATCATATTTTGCAGATTATAGGAGTTATATCTAAATGAAAATAATTAGACATTATTGCATAATTTAATACAAGGTGAAATAATTTGATATATCTAATATAATTACGGTTCTTTCTTTGTTGAAATCATACATTTAATATTATTTATTTGTGTTTGTGAAGATATAATCCAGATTTTTTTTAAAAAAAATTATTAAATTTATTCTTTTTAAGACTTCTATGTAATTTTTAGATAATTTTGATTATATTATATTGGTAACATTTTTCAAAAAAAATTCTTTGTTTATGTAAATTCATCTCACATTTTTGTTGATGGTATTAGTTTATTTTATCTGTGGGCTATAGTATTTTAAAACATAGAAGCATGAAATGAGTCAATCAATGGATCGATGTCAATATGCTACTTCAAGAACTACATATATATACTTCCATAGTCTAGTGGAGCAATTTTTATCAACAAATCTGATAGAACATGAGAATTTAAAATTAATTTATAATTTTTAAAATATAATTGGCTTTATTAAAAAAAATTATTTGTCCATGTATAAAATTGCAGTCTTTAAATTTATTATTTTGTTTTTTTTCTAGGAGGTTTCAAGTTATTTATTAATATGTCAAGTTGTAGTCTTTATATTTTCAATTTTGTTGTTTTTCAAGAATACTTAAGTTATTTTAAAATTGCGATTAATTTATAATTTTAAAAAAACAGTTGGTTTCCTTGCTTTATATGTATTTCTAATAAAATATTTGTCTTAATAACTCTAATTTGATTGTCTTTTCATTATCTATAATTAATGTTCTTTATTAGTGTAATAATATACAAATATTACTCTTATTATGTTACAAACACGACCAAAGACACATTCTTAATCCTCTCAATTATTGTGACTCTTTGATTTTAGGAATTTATTATATTGAATGTAATAGTATTTATTTAAACGTAAAATATACTTTATAATATTTTTGTGTTTAAGCAAAACAAAATTAAAAGAAATAGGAATTTCTATGTGTTATTTTTTTGAATTTTTTTTGTGCAGTTAGTTCTCTCTTTTGTTCTTTTGTATGTGTATTTTTAAATTTATTTTTCTTACATTCTTTTGTTTTTTCAATATAATTAAGTTGTTCCAGAAATAATTGGATAACTGAACCTAAATATAATAACAATATATTAAGACATGGAAACTAACCAATTAAGATTTAATTTTCATCATTTAAATATGTAAACTTAATTATATACAATTTAATTATTAAAAATTTATTAATCAAACATTAAATTAATCTAATATTGTACGATAAAAATAATTAAAATATGTGATGATTGGATGACGACGACGACAAGTACTAGTAATTGTGGATAATAATTAAGAATAATGTTGGCTAATAATGTAATCATGGATAAAACTATTAACGGCAATCTGAGTTTACATATTGCCGTAACCTTATTCTAAGAATATAATTATAAAGATTACAAAGAAGTAGAAAAAACGATTAGATTTCAAGTTTACATAAATATAGATAAATATACTAAAAAAGATCCCAAATGAAAAAAAAACGATCACATCTCAAGTTTACGTTCCAGTAATTCTAATACTACCTTCTCTTTTTCTCTATGAAATTAATTTTAATATTTAACTTCCAGAAGTTTACATATATTGATTTTTTAATAATTTCATATTAAACCTAAATATTTTTCATAGATTCTCTTCTTTGAAATTATATGATTAATACAATTTTTCTTTTTTTAAAAAAAGTAATCATTGATGTTAGCATGTAACTTTATTTTATTTTTTTCATAACTGTGAAGCGCAGACAAGTACACTAGTTAATTAGAAATGAGAGTTAATATATATGGTGGCAAAAAATAAAGTGATTAAGTACAGTCCAAGGCCTAAGAAAAACAAACTTGATGCACAAGTGATTACAATTAGTATTTAAAGATTATTAGCTACCAAAATAAGAGTTGGTCGGTTTATTGGTGAAAATGTTGTTGGAAACAGCACAGCGAATTTTAATAACATTAATCATAAAGGTTTTTAATATGGAGACATTTTAGGAAGGTTTAAGCTAAATTTCATATTAAAAACACGAGGTGGGAGACGACTTAGTATGTATATCTCACACTATATCCCATGTATGTCACATTGTCATTTCTTTACCCATATATATATATATATATATATATATATATATATATAT